AAAGAAATGTCCGTCAACTGCATATCATTGAGCGTTACTGGAACGAAAATAGGGTCGAGAATAAGTCAAGGTTAGCTCCAACTAAGACCTTCAATGAACGTGAGGAAAGATGGATTGTAAGGGAGGTACCGAATAATATTAAAAAAAGTGCTCCAAAGATGTGTGTCGAGGTGGAAAGACAGTTTGGAAAAAGGTGTAATCCCGAAACAATTCCACGAATCCTGCGAAAAAAGAATTTACATGGCCGAACTACCAGAAGCAAGCCGTTCATTAGCCGAAGAAATAGAAGCGTGAGATTGGCATTCGCTAGAGAGCATATCGATAAAGATCTGATGGAAAATATTAGCATGGAGAAAGCCAAAGAAAGAATTAAAATTGAAAATTTTAAAAGCTACGGTAAAGCACGGTGGAGGTGGAGAGATGTTATGGGGCCGTTTCTCATCTGCAGGAATAGGTAATATGCATTTGATTGAAGGAAATATGAACCAATATGTGTTGATATATTAAATAATAATATTATGGTTGCTAGTGCCCAAAAATTAAATCTGGGTAACAATTACCGGTTCTATCATGACAAGGATCCAAAGCACACATCATTTCGGGTCCGCAATTGGTTGCTTTATAACTGCCCAAATGTTATTAAGACACCAGCCCAGTCACCAGACTTAAATATAAAAAACAATGTAAATAGTGCCCCAATATATAACAAGAATAAATTAAAAATTACTGAAGTATGGAAAAAAATTCCGCGGAGTATAGTAGAAAATTAGTTGAATCAATACCCAAAATACTACAAGCCGTTATCGATAATGAAGGAGGCCCGACTAAATATTAGCAATTATATTTCAAATTATGCAGTTGTTTTTCTCTAGGGATTTGGTTGTTTTGTTTTGAATCATTTAAGCTGTGACGTTAATATTGTATATAATTTAATTAATTCTTTATTTTTAACTAAGTAAGGCAAATTAAAGACAAAAAGTCCTTCACACTTTTTTAAAAGGCTCTTTACTAACTTAATTTCAATAAGCTGTTTTTTTTTTCAAATAAATAAAGAGACATTCAGACCAGTTAGTTTTTTTTTATAGCGACTGCTTCATTTAAGCTGTGAGTTACTGTATAAATACGTTTGAACAACCAATCACATACAAAATGAGTTTTTCACATAACGAAAATTGTGAAGAAGAACTAAATACGTTTCAAAACAACATACAAAACATAAGGCACACAATCACTTCCAATCGATACAGTCATATGGCGAAAATGCTGGGACCATTTAACAACATTTAACAAGTTAAACCAAATCAAAAATCCGTGAGATTTTTCGCTTTGTGTATATCAGATAACAAGCAGCCACCATTCAAAGGTAGAAAAATTAAGGTTCAAATAACTGCTGTCCGCAGAAGAAACCACCTTGCGGATCTAGCAGGATTCACCACCGTCCAAAACAGAGAAAAAGAAAAGAACTAGAAACCTGATGAGAAACGTCACGCAGAATCAAACTGCTGTTTAAGGACATCTGGATCTGCTCATTTACCTAATATTTATTTTAGTTTTACGTTGTTAATTCTAAAAATTTCAATTAACTAATTATTTTTTTAATATCCCAACAACGTTTTGTTGTATATTAGTAAGTGCATAGCATAAATATGTTTTTCTACTCCCGTCTGTAAAATTCACACCACACCACACACACCACAAATTACACACCGTTCTAACGTGCGGAATGCGTCACTTTAACACGTCAGTTTCATTTCCACGGTTCCGAGCTACTGCGGACATTTCCGGTATTTTACCGCACGGCTTGTGTTTTGATGTGTGTCAATTCTGACAGTCATGTCAGTGAATGTATGCGTGTTTTTTATACACCGATCTAGCGTGCAGAAAGTGTCATTTTAGAATGTCAGGTATATTTTCCACGAATCCGAGCGACTTCGGACATTTTCGGGCACGGATTTGGGAGCAATAGGTTGTTTTCGGAGATTTTACCTCACGGCTAGTTAGGAAGCTATTGACCTATTGAAACCAAACAGCGACCGAACAATATCTGACTATGTCCAGGCAAAATCTACGCATGGACAGAATTATTCTTATGGGTCAGTGATTATTTAATAAACATTAATTGAGCTTGAGTAGCACCCCCAAATACAGGGTGCGAAACAGGAAGAGGAAACAGTAGAATATCCTAATCTCTCGTTTATGCGTGAAGCCATGATTGGCGAATCATATCCAAATCCCAAGGTAATCAGAGCGACGACTACACAGAGTCACTATGATTGATTGAAAGCGGAGTGCTCTGTTTAGAAGAAAGCACAATAGGGTTGCTGTAGTGTAGGCTACCCTCCTTCACATACAGATACAGATACTATAAGGCACATGTGGGTAACCCCGGCCCGTTGTATGATTGGACCAACTCGCGAGAAATTTTTGAAAAACCCAAAATTATTGCTAATCAATTTTTCTACACTAGACGATCATTCCTGATGGATGGTCCCAGGCTTAATTCAGTTCTATTTTAGCTACCGAAGTAATAACTTCATCAAGCAATATCCTAGCGAAAGTCTATTTGTTCGCTCTACATTGAAGCCATTCCAGTGAATAAATATTTTAAAATAAAGAGGCATAACTGTAAGTATCCTAAGATGTACTCACTGATAGGACAATAAGAAAGGACAAAATCGAGGTGCTTATGCCATTTTTGAAAAAGAGCGGAAGGCAATTTATCAAGGAGTGTGTGTTGGAAGGAAGCAGAACATTATAATATAGACCTGCTTAGGCTAGCAGAGACACACTGGAAAGGATCCGGAAATTTCACGTCAAGATCCGAAAACTCAATATATTTCTCTGACAATGACGAAAATAGCCAAAAAGAAGTGTCATTCATTGTACCGCAGGGAAGAAACAAATCTGTACTAGGTTATTATCCCGTGAGCAACAGAATAATATCATTAAAACTAAAAGCAATAATCTGTAACCTCAACATAGTCCAGGTAAACGGAATCGGAGGAAGAAGACATCCAAAGAATTTATAAGGAATTAAACAGCACAATGAAAGCTTTACCTGGGAAAGTAATAACAATCATACAGACATGAACGCGAAAATCGGCGAGACTGAAAATGATAGAAATCTAAGACCGGTTGTGGGATATTTCGGAGTGGGAATGAGAAACGAGAGAGGAGAACTAATGCTACAGTTTTGCTTGGAAAGTAGCCTCGTTATAACCAATACTTTATTCCAACATCATATTCGACTATTATATACGTGGAAATCATCCGCGGACAGATACAGGAATCAAATTGATTACATAATAATCAACGCTCGATGGAAGTCATCCATAAGCAACACGAGGACCCTCCCCGGGGCAGATTGCGGATCAGACCACCAATTGCTTGCTGTAGACTAAGACTAAAATTGAAATACATAAAATCACCCCAACCAGTACCCAGATTGAACATTGAAACAAAACTGCTCAAAACAGAAATAAACAGAAAATTAACCGACAATAAGATAGATTTTATGAACAATGAATGCGAATCCGAATGGTTGGCATTTAGAAGCAACATTGAAGCGACAATCAATGAACATCAAAGGACCAAGGGAAAAACGGGCAGACCAAGCAGTGGATGACAGAGGAGACATTGAGTATTATTGAGAAAAGCAGAAACATTCCAAACAAGAAAATCAATTGAAGCACGCTTACCTTAGTCGAAAAGATAAAAATGAATATATCAAAAAGATATGCTAAGAGATTGAAGAGTACAAGAATACCAACCAAACGAGTGATCTTTTCCAGAAAGTGAATTTACTGTCCAGAAAATTTAAACCTAAAACACTGGCCATAGAGAATAAAAGTGGAACTATATTGTGGGAGACAGAAAAAGTTCTGAATAGATGGAAACAGTACTACTAAGAACTTTACGGTGACAATCGAGATCTAGGAGGAGAATATTCAAGACAATACGAGGAAGCAGAAAAAGAGCCGAATATATTAAAGGCTGAGGTGATAGAAGCCATACAACATCTGAAGACAAACAAGACACCAGGAGTGAATCACATAAATGCCGAAATACTAAAGACATTGGAGGAACCGGGGACAGACATACTATTGGATATTTGCAACAAGATCTGCCACACGAAGACATGGCCAACCGAAAAAACTTTGATATCGCACGCAGGCAAAATTCTCCTAAGAAGACCGCCACTTACAGCATTAGCTGGACTCACAAATACCACCCGAGCAAGCCGGCTTTGCGAAAGGAAGAGGAACACTTGACCAAATTTTCAATATTAGACAAGTAATAGGAAAATCAGGAGAATTTAATTCCCTTATGCTACTCTGCTTTATTGATCATAAAAAAGCATTCGACTCCGTAAAATGGAAATGCTTGTGGCAAATACTAAGAGAAATAGGAATAGCGAAACACCTAATACGTCTAACTAAGAACCTATATGAATCAAATGGAGCCATAGTAAGAATAGATAACCACTCGTTACAGACTTTCAATATACAAAAGTGGGGTGACAAGATATTGTCTCCCAGAAACGCACTAGACGAATTCGAGGGAGGAGTGTCAATAGGTGGCAAAAAACTAACAAACCTACGATATGCAGACGATACAACGCTGCTGGCGAGAGATGAAACCGAAATAAGGATGAAGTTGAACAGAGTGGAAAGTGAAAATGCTAGGATGGGTCTGAAAATCAATCTCAGCAAGACTAAGCTCATGGTAATTGACAGAGCGGGAATCATTCAACGTCCGAACCTCACAAACATAGAAGATGTATATGAATTTGTGTGCCTGGGATCACTAATAAGTAACCAAGGCGGATCCGCAAAGGAAATACAAGGACGAATAGCAATGGCACAAGGAGGCATGAGCAACCTCACCACAAAATGGAAAGATCGACACATCACAAGAAACACGAAAATCATGCCCTTGTATTCTCAAGCTTTCTGTACAGAGCGGAATCCTGGACTATGAAAACACCAGATATACGAAAGATGATGTGCTGTTGGTGGCGTATGCTACGGATTTCATGTACTGAGAAACATACCAATGATTCTAGACTAAAGGAGCTGAAGATCAAAGACAGACTGTCCACAGTATGTCGCCGGCGAATCTTAAAATACCTTGGACATACCACAAGACGAGATGGCCGACAATTTCGAGAAACTGATAGTACAGGGAAAGGTGGAAGGAAAACGACCAAGAGGCAGGTCACCTGTTAGATAGACCAACTAACGGAAGCAATGGATAGATAAACATGGAAAGCTAAAGTTGATGGATTAACACGATTCCGTGAGATCACGATTTCTCAGATATGACAATAAAACTAAGAATAAGTGTGTTATCGGCTTGCAGTTGTCCATAAAAGAAATATGAATTTGGAAAAATTAGTTTGTCAAGACAAACTGATGTCCGACGTATACTTCGAAGAAGACCATTTTCCGAAGTACTTGTAAATGTGAACTGTTCTTTTTAATGATGAAAGTTATTAAATCAAAGCATCGTAAAAGGTTGACTGAATGAGTAACTCAATTCTAATGAAATGAATTTTGGAACAGTTGGAGTTTATTCAAAATTAGTTAGCGTCTACATTATACCTTATTTAAAATTTGTTTGTAAGGTCTTAAAATGACGCACAAAATAATAGTTATTTTCAAGGTAAATACTTATTTTTTTAAACATTAAAAACCTTGATTACTAGTCTAGTTAATTTTGGGTAGTCCTGAGTACGAATCCGTTGTACTTCTCGAGATGCCGCTTCAAAAAACTGTTGACCATGAATTTGCTCGACACTACATGAAAAAGCCATTTCAGTTCCTTTTACTATATCAAATATCAAAATTTGGCCATACACAAAGATGTGACAGCGACTGTGTGTCCTGACCAACGGAACTAACAAATTTTAGTTGCTAAAATCTACAGAAAACCGTTACGGTGTCTTAAAATGTCAAAGCGACTCGCACAGTGATGGATTAGGTAGAAAAAATGACCCTTTGGTTATTGGATATTTTAGAGTAGCGAGTTAAGAAAAATATGTTTTAATTTTCCAATAAATTTTGCTTGAGTAATATTGGTTGCTACTTTATTTTGATATAGATACCGCTTCTGTTATGGATTGGCATTGCATTGCTTTTCGTAATTCACGGATTTAACTCTGTTTACTTTCCACCGTTATTCCCTATCATCCGTCGTTCCTTCCTGCAAATAAAAATCAGATTCGTTGTCATTTTTATTCACAGCTCGACGATATGTATTTTTTTATTTAGGCAAACATGATCTGTTCTTTCACTAAGCTACTTTATCGCTGAATTGCCTTAATAAACCATGCATATTTTAATTTTTCAAAGAAACTTCCACAGGCTACTGTAATATTTTTTACAAAATTCTGGATTCCTCCTGCGTCGGTTTTTGCTGAGTCGAAATTGCTGACGTTTCGCCAATTATCCTGTTGCCTTCTTCAGAGCTTGACTGAAATTGGCTCGTATTTTGCTCTGTACCTGCTTATATATTGTTTGAGGGGGGCGCTAATGAGGGGCATAAACACCTTCTCGGATGACTGATTCCCAAATTGGTGACAGGTAGAGCCCTGAGTCGCGGTTAAGATTGTTAGGTTGTTTATAGATTTCTACAGACTCTCGTATTTTTCGTTGGTAGAAGAACTGATGCAAGAAGAACATGCAAGAATTTTGGGTTTTATCGAATAAAATTTTATCTAAGGGTTCATAAGTGTGTTCGGCAACAGCTGATGAGTTTATTTGTCTTAGTAGTAAGACTCTTTCGTGTTCTTTGATCCTAGTTGATATTTTTCGTCCGGTCTCTCCAATGTATTCTTTTGTCACATATGCATAGAATGCTGTAAACTCCTGGCATCTCAAATGGAATTTTGTCTTTGACGGACGGAAGATGTTGAGAGATTTTTGGACAAGTGGTAAATCTGGTTTCGAGGTTATAATTTTTTTGCTATATGGTTAGAGATGTTTTCAATGTAAAGAAGGACGACAGTGGCAAGTATAGGATTGTTTTCGGCCTCATTGCTATTGGAAGGTTGTGGTGAAGTGTATTTTTTGATGGAACGCTTAATATCTTTAATGCGAAAATTATTAGTGAGAAGAGCAGAGGTAATTTGTTTTAATTCTGTTTTCAGTGACTTGGGCTGAGATAGTTTTACTGCTCTGTAAACAAGAGAGTTGATAACCGATGATTTTTGGGCCGGATGGTGATGTGGCCATGCATTAGTGTGTCGGTCTCTGTGCGTAGGTTTTCTGTAAACACAATGACCCAATGTTAGGTCTGATAATAAGAATATCTAAGAATGGAAGGTTATTATTAGCTCCCAACTCAATGGTAAAACGTATGTTAGGGTGTATCGAGTTTAAATGTTTAACAAAATCTACTAGGGTTTCTTGACCATGAGGTCAAATAAGGACACAAACAAAACAAACAAAAAAAGACACACAATAATGTTTTAAGTAGACCTCATCAAAGATACAAAACATGCCTTTTGAAATATAGGATCTGGTTACAATATTATTTCATTAATTTAAAAAAAAACCTTTTGCTTTTACTGGGAATAATCTACAGTGTAGGTTTATCCTGGGTAATTCCATTCATATCTAAAAACGCCGTAAAGTCGGCCCCTAGCTAGCAAAGGGGTGTCGTGTCAAAACGGGCCGGACAGGCATGATATTATGTACGCAGTGTCTATCTGTATTAAATTTGTCATCCATTTTCCTAGGACAAAGAAGAATCAACGGTAAATAACTTTTACTTTTTTCAATTTTAAGGTTAGATTTATGAAAATATGTGAGCAATTTTGAAAGGAATACACACTTAAATAATGAAAGGGATGTCCCCATGTTTTTTAATTATTATTCATTGTTTATGTGCGCACTAAGTACGTATCTAGCTAGTGTCGTAAGTTACTTAGGAAACACCCTGTATAATAAGATTTAGGTACCGTTGTTTTCTTGTAGAACAAAATATCCCCCTAAAACAAGAAATCTAAAAGTTTGATTAGAGCAAAGTAATATTTCAGTTCCCATTGTAATGACGTCGGAAAATATTCTTTAACATTATAATCCGGATTTAATAAATTTCTTACCTTCCGGAAAACTGAACATCTATATGCGACGAATTACGTGACCACCGTTGATAAAGTTATCATTGTTCCAGGAAACGTTTTCGTAATTGCGGCCATTTTATTGGAACGAAATCTACAAAACGTGGCCAACTACCTAATACTCTCATTGGCCGTTGCCGATCTGCTCGTGGCATGCTTAGTTATGCCCTTGGGAGCCGTATATGAGGTCAGTCAGGAATGGTCATTGGGTCCTGAACTTTGCGATATGTGGACTTCGAGCGACGTTCTGTGCTGCACTGCAAGCATTCTCCATTTAGTCGCCATCGCACTTGATAGGTAAGCATAATTATATTCCTTCTTAATATTCGTAAAATTCCAACCATATATAGGGTATTATTGCAACCACACTATCTAATTTATGCCGACCGTGGTTGAAAGATTAAGGACGGCAACACAGGTCAAATTAGCACAACAAGAGATTTAGTTATTTAATTCTCCGATCCTGAAATGAAAGTAATAGTTTAGGCTTAATTATAGGCCCAAAACTTCGTTTTACAGAACATGTTATACAAAACTGCTAAAATATTCAATGTCAAGCAAGCAAGAGAATAATAAACAGAAATTTAATTTTGATTGTTTTTTATCACCACTATGAACACTTTTCCATTTTTTAATTCTATTCTATTGTTTTATTCTATACATTTTCTGTAATAATTCTAAAACTAATATTAGATGATGTAATTTGCTTGGCCTGTCCCTCTATATTCCATTTCATCCTTGTTTATTTTCTTCCATGAAATATTTGAGTTATACATCAAATCGAAAACTTGCTGGTGAGAAAATAAACTAGGATAGGTTTAAACGACATCAAAATGAAATTAACTTCATTTCCATGCCCATTAATTTTGGCTTACGTTTAAGTTATATGAAAGCATGACTTTAATTTCAGTTAATAATTTCTTATAGTTAATAGTTTAAGGTTAGTTTTCTGAAATCAAGTTGTTCAAAATATTGTCGAAATCTACTGTCAAACAATTATTTTATTGTAGCATAGCAAGAGCTTAACTCAATATTGTTTTTAATACTTTGAGATTTTTTAAGGTCGTGTGCATCTAAAGGCGTGAAGGATTTAAATTTGGCTAACATCAATAATAAGTGAGCTAAATTTAAAGTTAATCAGCAAATTAGAAAAGCATTAAATATTTATTTTGGGTTTTTGAAAAAAAAATAGAATCGCTTGATAAATATGCACGCCTAGGTATTTAGTATCAGATTTTGTGGCAATCTTGGTATCCATTATCTCAATTGTGATGTTTTTCACAATTTTGCTATCAATCATTAGCACTGCTTCAGTATTTTCAGGCGCGAGTTCTTCATCTTCTTTAAACATTCCATTACACGGTCAATGGCGATATAGGCCAACGTCACCAGCGTTTCCTCGCTTTTATTAGTTAGCTGCTATAGCGAGATCGTCTGCTTACCCAACTATTTTCACGTGTTGCGGCACTTCGAGTCTGAGTACTCGGTCGTCATAAATGTTTCATCGAGTCGATCCCAGTACAGATCCTTGTGGGACCCTACAGGTCACCTCCATGGTACGGCTATTGCCCACCATCAGCTCCCGATCCTAAAAGTATCTTGTTATTATGCGTACCTGGTAAGGCGCAGAACTAAATGCGTTTCTTACATCGATCGTGACAAGGAGGCATAATTTTCTATTTTTCCACGCGAAATTATTTGCATTTTTTACTTCCTGTAGCATTCACATTCACAGCGTCGACTGTTGATTTACCTTTGGTAAATCCGAATTATTGCTTGGCCAGTCCCCTTTTCCTCGTTATTTCGGTATTTAACCTTTCCTTTAGCAAGCGTTCCAGGACTTTCCCCATACCGTATACCAAACCAATCGGGAGCTTTTCTATAAAAACTAACCTATAGGGCTGGCGGTTCATAACGTTAAGAGAGAATTTCCTGATAACATTTCTGATCATTTCTGGTGGAATCCAGTCCAGGCCAGGCGCCCTTTTCGACTTAAGTCTATTGGATGCCTCTTCTAATTCTTCCATTGAAAATGGCGGTATTTCTTTTGGATTTACCGCTATCATGTCCCAGGTTACTCTTGGTAGAGAAGCAAATAATTTCCGAGCCTCCTGTAACATGGATTTTTCTGTAATCTGGAGAGGTGCATATGCCCCAGGTTTCATTTTCCACGCCATCCACTACTCTCTTCCAGGCCTCTTTTTTGGCTTCCCGGATAGCTTTTTTCAGGCTTGCGCGGGTTTCTCAATGCTGTGCTATTGCCGATTTTTTTTCTTCGTCAGTAATATGTGACCATTTGTTTTTTCGAGTCATGGTACGCTTTTTAAGCAGACATTCCTTTCAAAGTTTGGCTATCTGTGATGTCCACCAGTAGACAAGTTTCTTGTTACCTCCCAGTCCTTTTTTTCTCTTAAGGATACATGCGCCGGTGATAATTTCGGACCATATCTTTGGTATTTTTCTCCAGAGTTATTAGAAATTCCTCAATTTTTGTGTGATCTACACTGCACCCAAGTTGTTTCGGTTTTTGTTCAGGTGAGTTCGTCTCGTTTACGCTATCTTCTTTTATGGCCAGGAAAATAAAGTTATGGTCAAACAAATTTTCTTCGTCCGATACCTCCCAGCTTAAGATTCTGGTTGCTAGTCTACTCGTTGCGAAGGTGACATCACTAAAGGACTCGCTGGTACCCCTTTTGAATGTTGGCATGGTGTCTCTGTTTAACACGATCAGGTCCAGTTCAGAGCACCATTCCTAGAGGATTTCCCCTTTGTGGTCGTTTATCACCTACTTGGCATTAAAGTCTCCATATATAAGACATTGTTTTCTTTGAATACGGATGCTTAGTTTCAAATGGTGTAGGATAAGTTTCTTCGCTCTCGTTTGGGGATATATAACAACTATATATAACTATGTCCAAGTAGTTTATCCAGACAAAGCCGATGCCTTTGAAGCTGTATTGGGAATGTCCAAGTTATTTATCACTTGTTTCGCTGAGCCTAAGTTATCATCTGTCTGCCATTTGTTTCTCGTAGCATTTTATTTGTTTGGCTCGCTAAACACGGCCACGTCTATTTTCCTCCTTATAGCTTACCGTAACATGTCATGTGCAGCGTATCGTCTACCTAAGTTTACTTGGAGAATTTTTACCATTTTTCAAGTTTGAACATTACACGCTTTGTAATACAGCCCTCCTATTGACTGGGCAGTTTGTGACCGGACACCTGGCATATTACACAATGTAAGCTCTTCACACAGTCCTTTCGTTGGTGGTTTTCTTCTCCACAGTTGATGCACATCTTAGATCTGTTTGGCCCAGGGCATCCTTTAGCCATATGTCCTACGTTTCAACATTGGAAGCACGAGGTGATATTGACTCTTTTTCTTATTGGACAACTCGCCAGTCCGATTCTGATTCTCCCCTCCTCCGTAAGTTTATGTGCAATTTCTTTGGAGACAAAAACTGTGGCAGCTTGTGTTTCTCTGAACGACGGTCTAAAAGCTAACTCTAACCTCTCCCGTTAGATTATTTCTTGTCATAAATGTTTTAATTTAGTTTACTATTTCGTCCGTGATAGTGATTGCATCAAGGTTTTTTATGTGCAGTATAGCTCTTGATTCATTTCCGGTTGTGGTTTTTATCAGTGCATTACCATTGACGCCTTTAAGAGCCTCAGCCATGTGTGCTGCTGTACCATGTTGCCTATCTATTGACAGTATTAGGTTACCATCTTTAGACTTTCTTACTCCGCTAACTAGGTCGCTTAGTTGTCGTCTATTCACCTCTATGTTCACAGCTGTAAGCAGTTCCGCATATGATCTGTCCCCTTTTTCTACCAAAACAGCCTCGGATAGAATTTTTGACTGTGGTTGCCAATTTTTTCCTGCATATCGCCTTTATCTATTTGCATCAGCAATCTTTCGGCATCTCTCATGGTCCCACCTTTTCTGAAAAGTACAAGACAGTTTGGTTCTTCCTTTCTTAATAGTTATGTATTTAACCTTTTTAATTGCCTTATATAGCTCCTGTGATGTCTCCCATGAACATTTTCAGATCTTGCCCGTCTTCAGTTTCACCTTCGCCATCGAGTAATTTGCTGCTGGTTACCACGTAAATAACGTTCTCTAGCTCTGGTTTACTTCTTTCGACATAGTCCTTAATTTGATTCACCAGTTCGGTTAATCTTCGAATTAGAACGGAGTTGTCTGCCTCTTCTGGGTCCATAAAAACTGTGAGATCCATTTCATTGATTACATTATGCAGGATATCGTTTTTTATAACTGTGTATATAAACGCATCGTGTTCCCATTCTCTGCCTATTAAATTATTTAGCGCATTGTTATCCAAGGCACTTTTAATGATACTCTGGACGTCCATATTTGTTAATTTAGCTTTGGCCTGATCTTCAGTTTGTGTTCTGTGAGCTTGTATTACAATTTCTTCGGTTTGTTCTTGGAGACGCATCTATTACCTCGCCTATACTCTTATGTGTACTATATGTTGTCCCTAAGGTTCTCCAGCGTTTCATGTACTTGTTGTCCCAGCAATTGTTCGGTTAGCCTTTGAATTTTTATTGCTGCCTCCCTTATTTCCCTCCCTCCCTCTCCATCTTTCGAAGGGGTCAATTTATTCGCTAGTATCACTTCTTTCCGTATTGACGGTTGTATACTTCTCAGCAATTTTCTCTTCTGCGCCTCTCAATGGTGATAGAAAATTGTCCCCCCCAGAATTCGTGGGACAGCCATCCGAAGAGGAGTGGGATTTCCCGGCCCTGCCGGTACCCACCTGGGGTAATAACCGTTCTTCCATGATTTAATTTTTGTATTTAGTTTGGAGGGTCTCTCTCTAGGCAGATTACCTTCTCTGTGGCATTAAGCTCTGCCTACCCATTTGCAGCCGACCGCTCCGGTCAGACGCTGTAGTGTTTGTGTAGTGTGATAAATAGTATCAAATATATTAAGTAATTATAACATAATTATATCATAGATAAAAATTATTAATGCCACAGGTTCCAAAATTTCTTCTAAACCCGCACTGTGCACTCAGAATGATGATTGATAATCTTTCAAATATTGTTGATATTAGTGGGAAGATACTTATTTTCTACCTTTCAGGAAAGTAGCTTTCTTCCAAACAACCGTTTTAGAACGTGCGTAGTGTTTATTTACCTGAAAAGACTACAATATTTTAGTACTAGTGATAAAATTTCTACTCCCCTATCATTCTACATTTTTATCTGTAAAATTTCCTCTAATTTGCTAATAGACAGGCTACAATAATTTCATGATACAGATTTGA